TTATATATGTTGCTGCTTAATTTTCTTTGTAGCAGTTTCTATCTGAATCACCAAAATCTGCAACGCTTGTGAATCTTTGGTCATGTCTAACTTTTCCTGACGGTTACAGAATTAGACAGACCATCATTTAACTTGAATAAAAAGCTGTCCCTTTACATGGATTAGGTAAAAGCCATGATTTAGAAAAGTGCATATCCTCCAAAAACATTCAAAATAGGGAACATTGTTTCAAGGTGTGGGACAGGAGGACAAAGAAAAGAAATCCTGTGCAAGGAAATCTTGTCACCCTGCTTTTATTATATTGTGATATTCAAAAATCTTTTAATTGCTTCCCAAGTGGACCCCATGCCACTTAATTGTTATGTATGTTATTAATACTGTTTTCTTTCCAAAACCATAACCAAGTAGGTGTTTTTAAAATAAAATAGGGTAGCTCCTACCAAAGAGGGGCATTTGTCCAGAATTTCTCTCAGAACGTTATATAAATTTAAGGTAAAAAAACAAACAAAAAAACAAACAAAAGTCATGAATAATCATTTAAGAGAAGTACAAATGTGGTAAAATCTCACCCCTGTGAATATATCGCTGGTTCACTCCCACAAGTCTCAGCCACTGAGATGCGTTGTGATTGTTGTGGTAGACTTAGACTCTGCCTCCGGTCTGAATGGCTACGTCTAATAAAGGGTCGTGGCCCATGGACAGATGCAGGAGTCCTCCCACGTGTCTCAAAAGTATGTAAGAGGAATGAAACTTTGGTTGAGGTCCATGCTTGCGGGGGCTTGCTTACTGAACAAGGCTGGGCTTCAAACATGGACAGAGAAACGGGACAGAAGACTGAACGTGCATTACTAATTGTCCTAGCACTTGATGAGTCTTCACTGCTATTTTCCCTTGACCATCTTTGTACTTTTGGCGAAGCTGGGGGAGATGGTGCTTTGAAAGGGTATGAAGCGACTGAGTTTGAGCTCGAAATGTTCTGCTTTGATACGGGTGGGCTGGGGAGTCTCCTCTGAAGAGCAGGTGGTGTAGGAAGTGTTCTGTTAAGAGAGGGGCTAGATGAAGAGGGTGGAGTAGGCTGATTTTTGAAATTGTGGGGACTGGGAAGTCTTCGATGTAAGCTGCTTGGAGTAGAAGGTGTGGAAGGCAACATTCGCCCTCTAGACACAGGTGGGGTGGCAGGTGTTTGGCTAGTCTCTACCGAAGCAGGCACAGAAGATGCTGTGGTGTTGAATCCAGGCACTGAAATGTTACCACCATCTTGTATGTCTCTCAATTCTGTTTGAGTGACACACGGTCCTACGTAACTTGTTGACAATTTCTCTGACTGAGAGTTTGAAGAGGGTTTTAGTTGTATGTTCTTTCTGAGTTGCTGATATAAGGAATCCTTTTTGATTTCCGAATCTGGTTGATTGACCTTAGACAGAGGAAATGTCTCTTGTTGTTCCACTCTAACAGGGGAAATGTGTTTGGAGGTTTGTGGTAAGCCTCCTTTGCTTGGCAGTACCGTCACTGACTGAACTGAGGCCTTCAATCGTTGTGATATTAAACCCCTTTTCAACAAAGGTGATCTTCCTACTTTTGTTGCACCATCTGCTGCTACACTAGTTGATGTACTCTGAGCGCTTTCAAAGGAATTGTCCAATAATACTTCCATTGCTGGTGGAGGAAGACTATCCAGGTCTAAATCTGTTTTCTCACATGTTGTAGATTCAGACCTACAGCTAGTTATCCCAGCAGTCAGCACAGCTTCTACATTTCCTAAACCGGGTAACACTGGAACACCACATTTTCGCACACCTTTGAGAGGCCCCAGGACTTTGGGACCTTCTAGTTCCTCTATTCCTTGACTGAATGTATCAATCAGTTTTTTGACTGAATTCCTACCTCTGTGAAGGCCAGAAGATGGTTGGGGTGATAAAGGGGGACTAGGAGGTGGAGTGGCTTTTATAAGACCCTTGGGTATATTCTTGTCTTTTTGTTTATCATCATCAACTTCACTGGTTGCCTCCTGTTTTTTACTATTGGACTTTGTAGGACTTGCCTTGTCTTTAGGTGGTTGGGGGTTGTTTTTCTTTTCTAATGAAGGCTGTCTCTGATTTATTGCTGGAGATTGTGCTGGTGAGTTTCCTTGGTTTCGTTTTAAAGGATCAGTCCTTGTTTTTCTTTCTTCTTTGCTTTTATTTATGCTCTGCAATCTCCGGTTTAAATCGTTCTGGGTCCTTTCTAGTTCAAGAAGAGTAGGATCTTCCCCTTTGCTCCGAAGGGAATCTGCTGACCGGGAACGCTGACCCCTGTTCACCGGGGTCTTTTTCACTTGTGCCTTTCGTACAGCTGCTGCTGTTTGAGGCCTCCTTGGAGATCGTACCTCATCATCTGTCCAATCCTGTGTGCTAGTTTTTGTGCTCGTTGATGCCTTTGTTTTAGAACTAGGGTTTTGTGACGATACAAACTGTATCCTACCACTTATTGCATTTTTCATTTTCATAGTCATTTCTAGATTTTGAGGATTTTCTATCCTCTTTGGGGGTAAACGTCGAGGTTCTTGTAGCTTACAGTCTACAGGAGAACAATTAAATTGCTTTTGAACTGCTTCTTGGATATCTCCTATATCTCTGTCCACCTCATCATAATCATTGACATCCTCTTCCCCGTACTCTGTGGAGACAGATCCGAGCAATGAGTCTCTTTGGTCATTAGCCATTATGGTACATGTAGAACCTAGTGAGTTGAGTGAGGTAAGGGACACACTAGGACTTATTTGACTCCGAAGCTTTCTCCTTGACACTCTTCGCAGAGGACTGACAGGAGTAGCTCTATTTGTCCCGGTAGACTCACAACTCTCTCGTCTTTGGCGTCTCTCAGATCCAGCAAGGGATTCATTCTCAGCCCCAATTCCACTGTCCTCACTAAAGAGAGCTGAATCCTCTGGGCCAGGCTTGTGCAGAGAGGCCATTTCAATGCGGGATAAGAGTTGCATTAACCTACTCTCTGTTGCACGTTTGACTTTAAGTTTCTCCTCTAAAAGCTCTGAAACGGAGGCAAAATACTCCACTGCCTCTTCTAAAGCACAGTCCCCAATTCTTCCAACAGTCTGGCTCACATTTCTCATTCTCTGTGTGGTGTACTGAAGCAGCTGCTGCAACAAATCCGGTGGGGGTTCGATATTGGGAGAGCCAGACTTCAGAGGGGTAGAGGATGAGAGATTTTTCATTTGGCTTGGCCAAGCAAGATGTTCGCCATTTTCTTTTAAAAAATTTTCTCCCTCCTCCACCATGTCTTCTAGTCCCTGAATTATTTCCTCGTAACGTAGAGCCATGAAGGCAACCATAGGCTGAACAGAAACCTGAGTTTCAGCTGCTTGTTCTAAGAGTCCAAGCAAAACATCATATTTGTTTATGCTAGGATTCAAAAAGGCATACGCAGCTTGGTGAGCTTTTACCAAGGGTTCTGGAAAGTCCACTTTGTGCTCTTCAGATAGCTTGTCTTTGTCCTTCTTTTTAAGAACTTTTGCACCTTTGGCATTTTTCTTTGGTTTCCTGTTAAGCCTTTTGTCTGCCACATCCTGTTTGTCATTGTGTTTCTCTTTCCTCTGTGATACTGTGCTTTTTTCTGTTGCTTGATTCCCCAGCTTATCTATGTTAACTGCTTCCATATTCACTTGCTCAGTATCAAGCCTCTTTTTCTGTGGTGTCATGTGTGACTCTTTCTGAAGTACCTGGGTTTGTCCACCTGTCTTCTTTTCCTTTGTAGCTCCATTTGTAGCTCCAGATGAAACATGATTTTCCTCATCTTCAAACTGTGGATCTCTGGGGTTGTCTTGAGGTGCAGGGGGTAGCATTCTCCCCTTCCTCATAGCACCCAGAGTGCCAAAATTGTTACCTTTAGATGGTGAGCAACCCATTTCTGCTGTACAGGGTGTTTTTTTCTCTCTTCTCCCTAGATAACACTAATACAGACAGTGCAGTCAATTGTGTAAAAAAATAGCAAAGATTCTTAGCCACCAGCTGTCATTTTCAGATGGCTAATGTCGTTGACTCGTTGAGTAAGATCCCTTTCCGCAAGTAGACTGCCAAAACAAAACGTGGATAAATCCATTTTACGAATTGCTTCCAACTGTCACAGACAGACAGAATAAATCCACAGTTTGGTGGCCATGTTTAATAAAATTTCCTTGGAGCATGTTCGGAAAAAAAACATCCCTCTGCACCTTATGAAGGACAAGCAGCTGAAAGGATTAGTGAGTCTTTCAGTGAACTCCTCAGCCTGCACATATGTCACGTTAAGTCATATAAAACTCACCTACTTCTAAGAACTTAAGCTCATTTGGGTAATGAAGGCTGGCTTCAGGTGGGTTTTTTATAGCCTGCAAAACAATACATCCTAACTTAGCCAATAGAAAAAAACAAAAAGAAAAACACAGCATTTTGTTTTCATCAGAATTAGAAAATGTGCTACACTGATTCTATTTTATCCACATTTGACAACATTAAATCAAATATAGTTGCGTATTACACATCTTTCCTTCAGCCACTTTCTTAAACAATCAAATGAAGTGAGAACAAACCACCAAAACTAACTACTACACTAAATAAATAAAGTAAGAGTAAATAAAGTTCATGATTTACTCCTTTGTGATTTTGCCTCCTACAAATTAACTTGCAAAAGTTTCCCTTATATAAGATCAGTTATCCCCAACGTAAAATAATCATTTGTTACAGCACCTTGAATGTAACTCAAACACAATAAACAACCACAATACACAGAAAAATAGCATAAATAAGTAGATTGGTAGCCTTTGTTGTCTATTTCAACAAAATAAAATGAAATATAACAAAACAAATATCTCATTAAGAGAAAAAGTCATTAGAAACTGATATGTGATTTTTACACTCTAAGTGCTTGGTGTGTTTTTAATATAGTATTCTTCATATTTAAATTGTTTGGCTTGTTAATAATAACTCCACACAGAGATCGCCATAAGCAAAGAAAACGTGGCGCCAGTGCGTGCTCGTCCTCGCGCGCAGGTGCACCGCTGGCACAGATCTCGAAGCGCGCTCCGGAAACTGCCAGAGCTGCCAACAGCAAACTACTATCTCGTCTGGTCAGCGTCCTGAAGCGACTGCTTTATACTCACTTTCATCCTATAAAACGTGTTGCTGGTTAGTATGAGAGTTAAGCTTCTCATAAGAACAATACTTATTTAATTTTTTAGCGTCTCTTTGTGCCGCTAAAAACAGTCGTCACTTAAATTGAGTGATTTTTTTTTTTTTTTAGTCAGTTTTCTAGCTAGCTGATAGCTCGTGTTGCTGAAGAGCTGCGGGCTTTCTCTTTCTTTTACTGCCTATTGTTAATGACGTACAGATAATCTGCCTAACTTTAAACACTTTAAACTTATTCGGAAAAATTCATTATTAAATAATGTTCCCATTTTTCTACGCGGTAATCCAAATCATTTAGGGAAATTAAGCATACGTGTCATTCTAGTTTTGCTTTAGTCACGCTCGTGAAAGTTCGTATTGATAGAGACACTATAGCAGACCCCTCCCCAAGGCCTTAGTTAAAGTAATTTTTGAGATAATTTAATTTTTACATTGCCTCTTGAAAAATGTCTGAAAAGAGAGAAACATTTAGCTCTTTAAATGTGTCTTGAGGGCAAATGATGGTAAGAAACTCGAATTTGGCACAATTTAGTGGACCCCTTTGACCCCCCCTCCAAAAAAAGTGACAGTCTATAGTGATGATGCTCACTGCTCATACTTTTTCTCTCATTTGCAGTGATAACATACCAGAGGACTCCTTTCTGCAGATGATTCAAGCTGAAGCATGATGAAAACTCCTCCCTCTGTTACCCTTCGGGTCAAACGCAAAAATGTTCGCCCAATCAGAAGAAACCTCAGCCTCAGCAGACACCGTGGTCAGAACACCTGGGGTGTGGTGTGGAGTATCCAGTCAAACCAGGGTGACCTGTATTTTACCAAAGTGCCTCAGTCAACTGTTGTCCAGCGGCAGGAAATGGCAGCATATTTCCATCTTTTTGGTAGATAGATCTAACAAGAAAGCAGGATGCGCTCAAGAAAATGTGAAATTTGGTTTAAATTCTCATATATTAACATCTCTTTGTCTACAGAGGATGACCTGATAAAAGACTTTCTAAGGGTGGATGGTTGCTATAAATTGACAGACAAGGTAAAGTTATTACTTTGATGAAAGCTACAAAACTTTGTTATGCTTTAAAGTGACACCATCTTTTCCCTCTATTTCATCAGTACCTCCTAGCCATGACCTTTGTGTACTTCAAAAGGGCCTGCTTCACTAGTACTGAATACACCAGAAAGAATTTTTTCATTGCACTGTAAGTTCAGAGAAAAGCCTGAAAATCCTGCTTCTGTATTATATTCTGTCATGAAAAGGAAACTTTGTTTGCTTCTGCTTTTATATGTGATATTTCTTGGCAAACCTACAGCCCTGAACTCGGCTTTCGCTCTCCTCCTGTAGGTATCTTGCCAACACCATGGAGGAGGATGAGGAGGAGAGCAAGTATGAAATTTTTCCGTGGGCACTGGGCAAGAACTGGAAAAAACTGTTTCCCCGCTTCCTTGAGCAGCGAGACAAGCTGTGGGCTCGCATAGAGTACAGAGCTGCTGTCAGCAGGCGCTGCTGTGAAGAGGTACACACAAGTATAATTGCCTGAGGAGACTGATAAATGGTGCTTCTCTGGGAATTTTTAAGGGTCTTGTTTTTGCTGCGCAGTGCCATTTTTATTGCTTGGGTTTAATGCCAGACATTCCATCTCTAGTGTCTGTGAGTGTGTTTTGCAGTGATGTGATTTATTTATTTTGTTATTTTTTTCTGTTTGAGCTGTATTTATTTCTTCGACCTGTCTTCCAGGTGATGGCCATTGTGTCCTCTCATTTCGTGTGGCAGCGGCAGCGTTCCGATCACCATGGCGGTGCCCAGCGGCAGTATAATGATGGCGACCGTGTCCGTTTTCCCCGTGGGCCCTATGCCTCACCTGTGTCCTGTTCCCTATGTAAGCGTGACACCAGAATAGGCCACACCTCCTCCCTCCAGAGGCTCAGCTGTGCAAATCCCAAAGGAGGTACCAAGTATATATAACTAATGCTGGTGTCTCTGTTTACTGTGTGGTTTATAGTGTAAAGAGCTGGTCAGTATAGGATGCCCAGTTAAGTTTAAAACCAACGTTCAAGAAGCCCTGCAATCCAAACTGCAGAAATAATTTCCTCTTCAACAAAAACGCATAATGTTAGTATTTTTTGCACTTGAACCTATTGTCCCACTAAGTGGATTAGTGGGATCATTCACTCACTCATCCAAATAACTGAATTCAGATGTTCCAATCACTTCTATTGCTACAGCTGCATAAAATCAATAGCCCCAGGCATGCAGACTGCTTCTATAAACATTTGTGAAAGAATGGGTCACTCTCAGGAGCTCAGTGAAGTAGTACTGTGATAGGATGCCACCTGTGCAACAAGTCCAGCTGTGAAGTTTCCTCGCTACTAAATATTATATAGTCAACTTTTAGTGGCTTTATAACAAAGTGGAAACGACTGGGAACGACAGCAACTCAGCCACAATATAAGGAACACAGGACACGTATTTACAGTGCTCGTATGTATACAGATAAAGCTCTGCAGTTAAGATTTAAACTCATACCTAACTACATGTTTCCATCTTTTTTTCTTAGGGAATGACTCTTCCTGCAAGTCGACATTGAACACCTTCATGGACTGGATTAATGAGTAGAGCATCAGCGACTTCCTGTTTAAATCAACCAAGCAGTTAATGCTTCCTTTACTGGATTTAATAGCACTTTACTCTGAAGTAAAAGTCTGAATCCCCAGTTTGTCAGTCGCCTCAAAAGTCGCCCTGTGTTGGTATTTATTTATTTATTTAACTTATTTGTGGACTCTGTCACATACTATTTTTCACAGATGTAAATGAGTTAAGCACTGGATGCTGTCAGTTACACAGAAGGGTTTGTTTGTAGTTTGTATTGGTGTTGTGTTGCCAGTGTGCTGTTTGATGATCCAAGACTTTTGAATTTTCATAGTCTTCATTGCAACCTGCTTCAGTACACTAAACTGTTCTGTTGCTCTTTACTCACACACAGATTCTGTATATTCACTATGCCACAGAGCCATTTTCACTAAGAAGGCAAATTTTGCATTAAAGGACAAATCAGTTTTGACTTTTTATTATCTTCTTTAAGACAGTTTATTTGATGTGTAACAATCTGTGTTCAGGGTTTCCCCACAGGTAGAAATGTTACTGCACACACTTCCTCAGTTTCACCAGGAAAGCTGAAAAAAGGCAAAAATTACACATTTAATATTTTTAATTATATCATCATACAATAACTGATACTGGGACTAGATGCGTGGTAACATCTGACCTGTGTGGCTCATTTGTTCAGGGTGAGGTCGAGCAATGTAAGGGATACTCCCAAAAGGTGGGTCGGGGTCTTCTGAAATGACAATCAAACTTGAGTGGAAATACTCAAGGGGACTCTGTGAGACTCTGCCGTGTTACTTTTAATCACCTTTGTCACTCTCCTCCGATGCCTCGCCGTCCTGACTTAGGTTTTCATCCAGGATTTGGGCTTTCTTGTTGCAGTATCGTCCATCCTTCTGAAGGGCTGGAGCCACCACCCATTCCCGGAGTGGAAGCTCTATGACGCGTTCACACAGTAAAGGGAGTGTTGAACATCGAACTCCTTCCAGCAGGTCGGTGACTTGAGTTATGCTGTGGTATATAGACACAGTTAACAGAGCAGAAAAGACCAATATTTTTAATTTCTGAAAGGTTATTTTTTCCTCATGGCACAGAAGCTGTAGCGTATTTGGTCTCCAATAAATTAGCTAATGTGTGCTGGAAATACTAGCAGGTTAGCTTTGGTACCTTCAGACAGATCAAGGCGGGCTGTTTTCTCCTGTGTCTATTCTTTGTGCCAAGCTAACATTCTCCTGGTTCTGACTTGATATGAAACATACTGATATAACAATAGTAGTATTGTCTTCATCTAATTTCAGCCAAGAGAAAAGTGTTTCGCTTCAGAAAGCAAATAGCTGTTTCCAATGGGCCCTTCTTGTACTAAGGCCAGTTTCACAGCTAAACTATAGAAATCTGGATCTACAACAAATTTTTCTTCTTTTGCAAGTTTTCCACTTCTCTAGAAAATGTAACCAAGCAGGTAATATTACATAGTGACGAAAAAAAATGTCTAAATCTGCTGGGGTGAGAGGAATAAACTACATTTAGTTTATAAGTAGAAAATGACACGGTCGAGCTTCATACTTGGCGAGGTAGACGGCACACACAGCTCCGGGGTGGAGATGTGGAATCACAGTGGGTAAAACCAGGTGAGGGTTGATCAGATCAAGAGCAACCTGCAGTAGAAATTATCCACTTGATAATCAGATCTACGTCTAACCAATGATGTGTTCAGGTGGTGTTGTACTGATAGAAGGACAAAAAATGTTACAAATGAGGAACATTTCAACCCGACACTGACCGCATGAAATCCCCGACCAGCAAGGAGCGAAGAGGCTGTGCAGAGGTCAGCCTTGTGAAACTGGACGTTATCGGGCCACTCCTCCCCTCGTCGCAGACTCCATGATGTCCTCCAGCGGTTGTAGTTAAGCACAGCTCTCCTGTGATGATCCTCCCTGACTTCTACGCTCAGCACGCTGCCCTTAGAGCCGACTGGGGAAAACAAAAACATAATCAGGCTCCACAGCAAGCAGTTACACTTTGTCTAAATGATTTTTTCCCTGAGGAAATGTGACATCCACCACTTTCCTTCACATCACAGATTTGACTTTTATTGGTTTTCATAAAGATTAATGAGGACAGTCAGCACTTGAGAAGTTGAGTCGTTCCCTGGACAGCAGTTCAAATGGAAATTTGATCCACGCTGTCACCCTTCATCTTTGCCTTATTATAAAATCAGTTCACATAAAACTGTTCATTTAATATGTGCTTTGTGTTCATTTAATGTGTCAGTCTGCTGTAAATCTTCTATTAATTTTTACCTTATGGAAGCACAAGGCCATTGTGTTTACTTTTTTTCTACTTTTTTAAAAAAAATTTTATTTTGGGGTTTTGAGCAGAAATGTACAGTTTATATCCTCTTGTGATTAGTGTAATGAATGGGCTTATTTTGCTTAAATTTGAGATGTAGCTAAATTATTTAACCATTTGAACATTTAGTCTGTTTATGTGGGGGGGATAAAAGAATTCGAATAATAACTGTAGCTTATGTTGTTGATTTATTTTAAGTAAAGCCACTTTGAATTTATAAAAACAGACACTTTTGGGAGATCATTAATTCACATTCCGGTTTGCTTTCATTTCCAAATCCCACCCTCCCCACGCCTTTCTTAGTTTTCACCTTCTCTTATCGGAACCAGACCCTCACTGAGTTCTTTGCTCACTCCAACTTCCATTCTCTTTCAAAAAATTTTGCCCAATCATATTTGAGGGTGTGGTCCCGGCTAGTGAAATTGAGTGAAATTCTTTCATTTTATCACCTGCCTGCATATCCAGATATGTCAAATGGAAGAGAAAAACAATCTGCTATCAACTTCTGTGTGTAGCGAAACTGGTGATCGTGCTTCCATATACGAGTTCAAACCTGCTTTTGACAGGAATAGAGACATGGCCCCCGATCCAGATCCTGACTCCAGGACACAGTCTCCCTCTGTGACGTCCATCATCATTAACATAGAAGCTGCATCCTGAGGAAAGAAAAACATTCAATAGATTATCTGTCAGAAAACGCTGAAGCTGAAAGGCAACTGTGTACATATATCATTCATTTACTGCTCTCTACCTTAGGGTAGGCAATTGCAGGTCCCCGCTTCATACACAGCACATAATCCTCCAAACTAGCTCGCCTTATAAAGATGGGGACCCCCCGGTGGGTCTTCAGAAACAGCCCTGCTGGCTGCCCTGCAATGTCATTGTGCAGTATGACCCCCCAGCTGCTCTCCAGACGGGCCCCTGTCTGCAGCTGGAACATCTTCCTGAATTCCACGCGCTTCTTTCTGCGATACTCTGCAACAAGCAGCTCTCCACAGGTAAGCAACCTTTCCCCGGGCAGAGCCGCCCACACCTGCTTTTCCCGGTGATGAACTGAGCCGGTGTCCAACTCTTCTGCTCCAACAGGTGGACTGTGAGCCTCATGTTCAGACTTTTTAACGATATCCTCATCCCCAACTTCTACCTGCGTGCGATTTGGGACTGATCCTTGGATCTCTGCCCCCTTATCTGACTCCTGCTCTCTCAGCTGCATCACCTCAGGGCTCAATGCGTCCTGGGGCAGCAGGCCACTGATCCTCTCCAGCGGGGACAGAGGTCTCCTCTTCCTGGATGTCACCTTGGTACTCAGGCGTGAATAGTCGGAGGTGCCCTCCTTATTATCGTTACGCTTCACAGCAGCACCTGAAAAAGTTCTTGTGTCTCTGACACTTTCACTGAGATTCACAAGTAAATCCCTGTGCCGGCTGTGTCTCTGACTGGATGCCCAAATTGTCAGCGTTCTGTGCGTAAACACAAGTCTGTGGAGCGCGACTTTCAAAGCCATTGCGACATTCAAAAAAGTGACAAGGTGGAAGCTGTGGTGTCGATCCCATCCAGTAAAGAAAGCAGAAAAACCTAGAATGACACAAACAGCGTGTAGACCTGCGGATTAAAAGCCAGAGCAAAGAAACATTAAAGGCTGCTTAAATGGAACTTGCGCTGTAAAAGCTTTCAATCAGTTTACATCCGTTTCTCGATAACCAGGCTGTTTACAGACTCAAGGAGGACACCATGCTGGACACTGACATGTGTACAACGTCACAATTAGGCGACTGCTGTAATGATTAAAATCTACCGGCAGAGGGCGATGTTGTAACTTATATGCCTCATTCAACTATGATTTAAAAATGTAAAATAAAATGTAATTTTGTATCATCACGCCTAATTTAATATTCCAAACTTTTCGATGAATAGACTTTTTATTACGGTGTGACTTTGAACTCTTTGGATTATCTTTCAAACCGTTTCCATCGACAGTTTTCGCTCTACTTTACAAGCATAATTAATTTCACACTAAATTTCACAATAAAAATGTTTTCAACAACAGGAGATTTATTTAAATGGAGAACGAGAATCATTTTAATGAATAGAAAAGTTGAACTTACGTTAACAATTTTGTTTTATTTGGAAAAAAAATAATTCACAAATGTAGGTTTGTCAATGATGTGTATAGTATGGAAATTTGTTTCTGCCACGAGGGGATGCAATCCATAACTTGATATTTGGAGTTGGGTATCTCAAAATTTCAAGTTTATAAGTCACACAGATGCGTGATCAGCACTACTTGATAAGTTATTTAAAGCTGTTTAGTCTAAAATGAAGCATCCCACAAATTATTCTCTTAAAAACGAATTAAAAATGTATTTTTAGTTTAGCTCTGACCCCTTTTACTGGTTTATTGCTTTGTACAAGTTGAATCTATTTTGGGTTTTTATCTTTGAATTTACTTATTATATATTAGCCTGTGTTATTGGTCGGTGCGAAATAATCTGCCATTTGTTGTTAATTTTTGAATACACATGATGTTCAGCACAATAAAAGGAGGAAAAATGGGCAAACAATGAAACTTAAAATAATTATTTAATGAAAATACAACGCTTGACTTTAGTATTTTAGTACTCATAAGAAAAAATTAAAAGACGTAAGTTAGTAATTTAATGTTTTAAGTAATAACCTAAAACATTAACATCATTGGACAGCCTGTTCTACAGCTGAGAATATAAAACTGAGTGCTTGAGAGCTGTCAGTTGTAGAATTTGCAAATTTGGAACAACTTTTAAGGTGAAAATAACTTCAAACAGTAACACGTCTAAAAGGAAAATTTCTGTCTTCTTGACATTTAATTTCATATGACATTAATATTTTGAAAATTTGTGTTGAGTTTATGTTATTTACAGCAAAAAAGCTGTATCATTATTATTATTTATGAACTTGCATATATAAACCTGAATGTGGACATGTACACTGGATGAGTTCATTTGTTGGTGATGCATTCAAGAGCCTTGGGAGAAATTTACAGTGTGGGAATATGAGGATCCTATAGGATGATACAGAGATAAGTACCCTACAAATTGTGTTATTTATAGGTAGTTGTAAAATAAATGGGAACACCCAAGTTACGACCTATTTTGTCAGTACAAGTAAATGCATTGACCGATTGTAAAGGCTGATATTTACAACTAAGGATATGCTTGCTTTGGAGGGAAACATGAACACAGCATAAATCAACCTGCTTGTTGTCTGGAAGGAACAAGATTTCTGTATTTACGCTGCCCTACAGATATGTGGTGGCTAAAAAAAAAGAAAGAGCTATTATTTAAAATCATACATTTAATTCATTTTTATTCTATTTACCATTGATTAAAAAAGGAAGAGATATATTCTTTTTTTAATTATAAACTGAAACAAAATAGTTATCCCAGTGTATATATATGTCACTTTTTTTAATGTTGAACATGCTGTATTAATAATACAGCACAATGCTACCGTGGTTTGTCTCACAGCAACATTTCTGTTTTATCTTTGATCATTTTATACGCACGAAATCGAAAAAAATACTTGATTAGTACCACTAAGACACATGAAATACAAAATAAAGAGTAGTAAGAGGAAACAGGAAACCGACACGAAACAGCAAGGAATTCTAGCGGATAGATCCTGACTATTGCTGGCTCTTGCACTGATATTTGGCAAGAGAAATGACTGTTGAACAGAGCAGTGGTTAGCTGCAAAGATTAGGTCGATAAGAACAGGGTTAAAGGTCTACTTGACTGTGGAGACTCGGCTGATGAGAAGTGTTTTTTCGGGCTAATTGCTGCACTGTAAGAAATCATAAAGTGTGAACAGTTAGTTATTGACGACTAGGAGGCAGTAACGCAACCTGAAATGTTACCTGCTGCCGGGAAAACCCAAAGAAGAACGTAATACGAAGCGAGTGGGAGGTGCTGGGACAAAGTGCGCATGTGCTCAGAGGGCCACACGTGGGTTGTGTACACCACGGCGCACGCACGCAGACGCAAGTAGCGCTTCAGAAATGGCGGCTGACGGTGGCAGTTCTTCGCTGCAGCTACCCTGCGTTTTTTCACCTAAATCACGACAGTTCTTAGCGCTGTGTGCCCAGGATGGCAGACTTCGAATTTGGAACACAGATAGTAAAACACTTCACCAGGAATACGTGCCTTCAGCTCATCTGAGTGCCACCTGTACGTGCATAGCCTGGGGACCATGCCGGACAGTCAAGGTACGTGAGGCTGTTGTTAGCGTCAGCAGCTAGCGAGGCCCGAATAAAGCCGCATTTGACAACGTGATATAAAGGAGCAGTTGTTAAATCGAGAGAAGTGTTACTTTTCAAAGAGTGAAGTTTTTACTCAGCGCGGAAGGCCCTGGCGTTTGCCGTTTGAAATGCTTTACGGAGCTGACAGACGTGGTTAGCGGCGGAGCCACGTTAGCAGCTCGCTAGTTTTCCACAGCTGCGAAGAACGCACATGTTAGTCCCACATGGTGGTCCAAGCAAATGACGAACATGTCTTAATTTCGTATATTATGGCGAAGTTAGTCTGAAAAACTCTGAAAGTGGCGACTTTAACTAAAAAAGATGTTTTTCTTTGTTTTTAAATGGTTATTATGGTGAATTAACGAGTTATTGAAGTTAGCATCAGCTCAGCGGAGCGTGCCACCATGACACTTCTAGAAGCAGGGTCCGCTAGCTGTACCTCAGTTTATCGAGGGGTAGTTTGTTAAAAGTTTGTTACGAGGCCAAAGTAAACATAAATTGGGCGCTGAAAGTACTGCAGTTTTAAATCCACGGATGATAACTGAGATTAGAAAACTAGTTTTCTGTTCTCGGATTCAGTTTTATGATTCTTTTAAATGTCATTAAGACGAGAAATTGTTTGCAGTTATTCTTTTAGCAGTCACTGTGCTGCCGTAGAATTGGTTTAATATGTGGAACGTTAGTACTAGGCACTAATGCCGCCGTATTCAGTGATGCACTGGTCCTGTTTTCAGTCCCCATACAGATTCCTGGCTTTGATTATATGTTAGTGTTGACTTGATACCAGGACCTGAAAGAAATTCTATTAATTCTAATTGCTTTACATTATGTATAATATCATCACCTTAAATATGCTTTGTGTCAGGAGGGGCCTCAGAGGAAGAAGAGGAAATCGGAGGCGGTGCAGGTGGAGGAGAAGGCAGACCTGTTGGCCATGGGCACAGCAGCTGGAACTGTGCTCATCTATAGTACAGCAAAGGGAGCATTGCATTGCACCCTGGTAAGTTTGGGACCTTACATGGTTTGCAAAGAATCGCTTCTTTGCAACCTTATGCAGGATGAAAAATGTTATGTTTTTCTTTGTATTTTTGTCTTTTGTCAGAGTTAATATTTTTTTTTAGTGTTACACTCACTTTTTTTTTTCCCAATATAATAGGACTAGTTGTTTACAGTTGCTAACTGTGCAATTTGTGTGCCAGAATGGAGCCCACAGTGGAGGAGTGAACTGTGTCCAGTGGCACCCTGAAGAAAGCTTATTATACAGTGGTTCAGATGACACAAACATTGTAGAGTGGGACTTGCAGACTGGCAAGACAAGAAGGTCAGTAACTACTTTCTCTTTGGGATAGTTTGTTTAAACCAAGAACAAATGACCAATCACTGATCAATACATTTCCTGTAATGATAACTGGTTAAAAACTGGTTTGTTAGCCTGAAAATTATTTCTGATATTTGCTATTTAGGCTCTCTTTATTTGTTCATGCTGCAACACAGTTTTTTCAGCTATAATACAATTAGTTGCCATTGTTTTATAAAAACCTGTTTTAGGTTGTTTAATAGATATCCCTTTAAAGTCACACAATGTTATCTAGTAATGTATTTGTCAGAAATTGTCTTTGTGCAGCCAGAACTGTTAGAAAAGAACAGTCCAACACGGTGGTGGACGGTGTCATGCTCACTGTCACAGGCTTCTTTAACACATTTGGACTTGAAGTGCTTCCTACATTTAAACAAGACAGTACTTTAGAAGCATAAAAAGACATCTGTAAACACTTGAATGTTAAGAGAAGTTCTAAATACATCTATGTGACATTGCAAGTTTGTTTGTGAGAAACACTTGAAGAGTTCACACCTGAAAATCTGTTTTTCAAAAAGGATGTCACATTCTGGGTATAAATCATGTCCTTCTTAAAGTGTTTATATTTTTGACACTAAACTATCCTTCACATAGAGCGTATATTGTAATATTACCTCTTAAAATTGCACTGTTTCCAAAAGGACATTGTTTTCTTGTTGTTCTACCTGTAGAAACAACACTGGTGGTGAGAAAAGTAAGAATGTGGTTCCAGCTTAAGCATGCCTGTCTTTCACAGACCCACCAAGGCCTAAAATACACCAGCATCATTGAACGTTATACCATCAGACATTTACTATCACTATATTTCATCATGAAAGCCTCTTGTCTGGTGACAGATATATTAGCTACACAGGCACAGTCAGCAGCAACAATCATGAGCACTAATGCCACCATGAATCTTCACTTGATGCTCAGTAAAGCCCATTCGAGGTGCACAAAGTGGGTTGGAGAGTGTTTGTTTCTTGCTGTTATTAGGAGAGAGCACCAGTAAATAGTATGCTGTTGGCCATAAACTTTTTAGGTTCATCACTTCAGTAGGAGAAAGAATAATGCAGTGATAGAAAACACCAAGGTGTTTCTCACACATCACACTTCACAAGTCATTATCTTCTTTTTGTTGGTGCAGTTAGTGGAGCATTTCGTTTAACTGCTTGCATCAACCAAACGAGTTCTACTTTGGTTGTTGTGTGGCCAGCTGTCTGAAGGTTGTCAAAGTGGTGCAAGTGCCATTCAGGTCCAGCTTTCCACATCGATCTTTGCTAACCTTAAAAAGACTTCAATTTCATTCAGACTTAAATGGTTTTTCACTCTGTGCTCACTAGAGCAGTTTGTGATTTAAGGGATAAGAAAAGGGTGTTGTTGTTTTTTTCTTGCTGTTTTTAAAAGGTTGAATGGGCTGCTGATATTTAAAGCTGATCACGAGGAAAGAGGAAAGGAAAGTGCTTTAATGTGGTTTCTATGACATCAAAAAGAAAGCATGAAAAAAACTTAAACTTAGGAGATGTAGTCAGCTGCCTCTCCAATGAGTCTTTCACCCTGCAGATGAGCTCAAGCTTCACTGCCTTGGACTGCAGTTGGTCTTGTTCTTCTCTTCAGCGAGCTTCACATACTCACACATGACAGTACTCTGCCTCATGCAGGTTCTGGTTAGTGGCCTTGCTCACAGTGGCTCTCCAGAGTGGATTGAGAACTAGAAGATGTAGTCCTAAATACGGGACTTGAAATATGTATGACTGCAGGACAAGATTCTCTCTGGAGAAGCAGCTGAATGAGGACAGCTACAAAACAAAAAGTCTAAGAAATGGAGGGGGGAGTGCCAAAATGAGCCACTAGATGTGTGTGGTAGATGTTAATATATCATGGAAGCCTGCCCCGATTAAGTTGTTTTATGGGAAAAGCTAGTAGTGAACCTAAAATTGTCATCGTCTCTCTCACAGTAAGTGGAAGGCAGACCATGCAGCGGTGACCAGTTTGTGTGTGAGCCCTGATGGTAAACTGCTGCTGTCAGCTGGACACATAATAAAGATGTGGGACTTGGACACCAAGGAAGTTTACAGGGTGAGCTAAATTCCAGATTCTTTAAAAAAAAAAAAAAATTATTATTAGACATAAGTCACCTAATAAACTTGGTTTTAATGCAGATATGTTAGTCACACTCCAGAAGAGTCAGTATTGTATTATAGTGTTATAATAGTGCTTTACTTAGACCTGAACTCAGCTGTTTTTTTTGTTTTTGTCTTTTTCCTTGCAGAAGTTCACAGGCCACTCCACGGCTGTGACGACCCTGCGCTTTGCCACCACACGACCCCCTGACAGCAATGGCCTCTACTTTCTGTCAGGTGCTGCCCATGATCGACTGCTCAGTGTATGGTAAGTGCAGAGTTGATTTTAGTATGTTTGATGTTGTGTAATTAAGTGCATGTATGAAAATGCACTGCAGTCAGATTTGCATGACTTAATTCAAAGCTATCTTACTGAAGGCAAGTACGAGAAGATGGAAAAGACAAGAACTCAGTGGTGTCCTTCACACTGACGGATGAGCCGCAGCACATTGACCTCGTTACATCCAACAGCAAGGAAGAGGTAATGCATTACTTCTGTATGTTAAATTACTTGCAGTCGGTCTTTAACAGGGTAAAAGATAATAACTTGAAACAGAGTCGTAGGCTCTATGTTGATAATTTTCTTAATTAGGAAATGAGAAAATATTCATACGTTTTTTTTAGCAAACGCTTAGAATTTAATGATTCAAAGCATTTGCTAAAACGTGTCTTCTGTACTGCGTTTCTGTTAGAACTTTTGTTCTTAAATATTTTTTCATGTTAGTTCTCGTGTGTGAACATTTTGGGCTTTTTTGTGTGTTTTACAGGCAGTGAGGCTGGCAGTGGTGTGTAAGGATGGGCAGTTGCACCTCTTTGAGCACTTTTTAAATGGGTAGGTTTCTAAAACACTAGTTTTATACAAGACAATGTACGGCAGTGCAGGGTAATGGGATGAAATATTTCGGCAATAAGCATTCATCTTCTGCTCAAGAGAGGCTGTGTTGCACTTTTCATTGTTTATAACATTGTTTATTACATCCAAGTGGCTTCCTACAATCTTTGATCTTATACAAATGCAAAGTGGACAGGTTAAAAAAAAATCCTGACTGCATTTATCAAACCATAGACTGCAGTAGAGCCATGGGTAGGCAGGAAAGTATGGACTGACTGCAGCGTAATAAGACCAACATTTGCATGTGCATTAACACTAGCACTGAGATTAAAAAGCTAGTAAAAGTGAGACAGCCAAAAATAAAATGATCCAAAATGATGCAGAGAAAGCAAGAGAGAACAGGGTGAAACGGAAGGGCAGCATGAAAAATTAATAAATAAATGTGTGTTTTGACACGAGCAGGTAGCAGAGTGTCCTTGGCTGAAAGCAATAAAGAGAAGAATGAGTTGCACTGCACAAATAGTGCAAACTGGAGAGCTGCCAAGCAAAATTTAAGCATAAAAAACATTAAATTCTACTCTTTAGAAAGATGTGTTTTAAATGTTTCCGATCAGAAATTCTTAAACGATACAATACATACATTTGTTCAGTTTTTCCTTCTGGCCATCACAGGAGAGCTCACATTGTCTCGGCCCCCTTTCTGCTAATAGTCATCAAAAAAGCAGTTAGTCACTCCGTGGTGGATGAACTTGACTTTTACTTTCAAGGATCTATCAAGGATCCACCAGCCCACAAGGTGTCAGTTTTACAAGAGCTTTTATTGTTCACTAAAACGAGCACAACAATGAATGGATTTACTGTAATCTCAACATTAAGTGTCCAAGTAACCCTCCAAAAGCCGGTTGCTTTCTTGCAGCTTGTTTTTGTCCAAGTCATTGGTTGTGATGTTTGAGAGAAGACTGGCTCACAGAGGACTTTGTGTAACTTCTGTTGCTAATTGTTCAGTTACACCCGTCAGCGTCAATCTCCACCCTGCAGTTTTTCAAGGTCCCTCAAAAGGACCACATCTAAAAGAGATCCTACAGCAAGCAAGCCAGACTGCCTAAATGGCCCTTTCAATAGAAAACAGACTGCTGTTCCACTTTATCTAGACTTTGTGGCACCAGTGCCATCCTTTTGAAAAATTAGTCTAGAACCCTGAAAATTGGTGCATTTGTAGCTGAGGAGCCCCTTTTCCATTAGTACCTACTTGCCAAGGTTTTCAGGGTTTTCCATTAGGTCATAATACCTGTACCAGGTACTAAAATAGTACCTGCTCGGCCAGGGTTCCAAGTGACCTGAGCAGGTACTAAAATGTGACGTCGTCAGACAGCACGCCACCGATTGGTTGGTCATTGGCACCCCTCAATGAGTCGGGAGAGGTCACAAAAAAATCTAATCGCAGTACTACAAAATTTAAAATGTATGTCACATGGATTTCAGGTTGTATATATTAAATACCACCAAGTACATGTTCAGCAATTTTGTATGCTGTCTATGCTAATGGTTGGTTTGTCCCCTCAGCCCCTGTAAGAAGCCCTTGTCACCATCATGTACGGTGCAGATGTCAGACACAAAGGAGTCCCCGATCCCAATCCCACTGCTAGCAGCGGTGCTTGGAGCGGATACTCGAACTGTGATGCTGGCGTACGGCAGCCACCTACAGCCAGTAATGGAGAAAGTGGTGAGTCTTCTGAAGGAAACCGAAATACACAATGTTATATAATAAGTAACCTGGACAGTCATGTGTTTTCTTTTTGTGTGTGTTTATGTTTGTTTGTTTTAATAGCCAATAGGACAGTTCTTTCCTCTTATACAGGAAAAATTTCAACTAATTTACAGTCTTTATTTAATCTGGGAAATTTAATGAAGTAAGTTGATGTCCTGGTATATCATCTTGTACAGTATAATTAATAAAATATACTTTTTTTTTTTTAAATCTACACTGGGTGCCCTTCCTGGCACAGCCCCAAAGAGATTTGTGTCTCCTCTAAGGATCAAGTTGGGGATCTCTCGTTTATTAGGCAAACACGTAAACCACTATACAGAAACTGGCAAAACATCTGAAGTGGAATTCATGCTCACATTAACACCACAGTCATGCGTGGGCTACCAGTAACCTGATAGGAGCTGCATGTTTTAATGAGCACCTTGATCACTTGAACAAGAGTCATGGTAGCATTCTTATTGGACCCCATTAAACTATATTAAAATATTACTTTAAAGACTACATCAGTATGGGGCAGGGATAGCTCAGTAGGTAAAGTGGTCGCCCCATGATCGGAAGGTCGGCGGTTCGAATCCACTTAACGGCTACCCTGAGGTACCCCTGAGCAAGGTACCGTCCCTACACACTGCTCCCCGGGCGCCTGCTTAGTGGGCTGCCCACTGCTTCACTGAGTGAATGGGTCAAATGCAGAGAAAAAACAAGTAATTTCCCCATGGGGATCAATAAAGTATCCATTATTATTATTATTATTATTATTAGTATGAATACATGTACTAGAATTAACAGATACACACATGTCAGTACCTGCCTAGTGTCTCTACAACAAAGTTTCTTTAACACTAAAAACGGTGCTTGTTTTGAATAGGGCCATTAAGACCAATAACCTCTACAAATACCATTATATGTTGACAGCTCTGTTTCTAATTTGCACTGTGATGCATTTCATTAATTCCAAGTTTGGTCCTTCACTTTCATAAAGTGTATGTGAGGGACATGGGTAGGTCAAGCTTGGTGTCTATACCTTCTAAAGCCGTAGTCTCAAGATTGGCCAAATTCTCATTGGTCAGACAATCACTAGGATTAGTTTCAGAACAAGAAAAGCATGGCATCATTAGCCTTACAGGGTTGGTCAATAATTCTTTGGCAGCGCAAGAACGGAGCACCTGTGGAAACAGATTTGGGCTTTGTCCATCAACAGGAGACTGCTAGGGCTGATTTGGTTCATTTGAACATTTACTACACATTTGTCCAACGACGAGGAGGTTAAATGTCTCACAGAGTAGTGTAGTGAAAGATAAACTTATGCTGAATAGCCCTAAGACTAAATATGTCATTGTGCCCTTAAGATCTGCAAAGGCCACAAAATCCACACTTTACATAACACGATTTTCACCTCTTCATCATTTATCAAATATTTGTGTGTTTACATCCAACTGTTCTCTCTGAGGAAGCTGCATCAGGCTGTGCACTCACCGGGTGAATTTCTTTAGGAGCACAGTAGAGAGCTTTTTGTCGTGATTTTATAGTTGCTTTTCTTATTACCATTTTTTGTTTCTTTTAGAACTGCCGGTAGCATGTACCTCATACACTGGCACATTTTGTTAATTAAGAGATAACATATAAATGACAGACCACTGATTTAACAGATTACTGCATATCTCACGTCTGAAAAAAGGACTTGGAGGTGATGAGCGCCTGACAGTGTACAGCTGATAAATAATACAGTGTTGTTTTTGTCCGTAATATTCATCAGGTTTGCTCACACTTACCTGTCAACCTTCTTTCCTCTCATCTGTGCAGGAGATCAACACAGCAGAGAGACATGTGTGTTTGACCCGGGATGTTCAGACCACTTTGTCCCTTTCCATGGAAACCACAGTCTCCAAGGTAACAATCAAGTCTTCATTTTCTTCACTATGTCAAGAAGACTGGTCTGGACAGGTTATTTGCCAGTCCATGTGCACTCTAGATAAACTCCCAACAGTTCGAGCCACAGAAGTGGAGGGTGAAAAAAAAAATTATGAAATTGCTTCTTCCAGGTGAAAACTCCAATTGTGAATGCCAAGAGCAAAGTGCTGGTCCCAGGACTTCCTGGTCACAAAGCCCCACTTAAAGGAACCTCACAGGGATCAGAGAAGAGGAAAAAAGACACAGACACCAAAGAGGTAGGCTCAGCCTCCGGATGAGTGCATCTGTCAGTCTCTCTGATTCTGACAGCTTTTTGGCTTCGGCCCCAAAACGACTAAATGAGCATTAATGTCTCCACCACATTGTTGGCTCAGTGATTAGTCACACACCAATCAGTCAAGAGAGGCTGTTAATATGGGCTCAAATTGTGGTCATAAATATTTTGTACTTGTAAATCAGTTTTGTACTTGTGAATCAGGATTTGTATGTGTAAAAAGAATTTGTGTGCATAAAAAAGATTTGTGTGTGGACTTAGCCAAAACATACGTGTGAAACTCTGCTCTCAAGTTTCAAGTTACAAGTACAAATTTTGACATTGGTCAATGTCATGTCAATCACAAATTTAACTGTCCAATCAGAGAACAGATGGGTTTGGCTGTCGATGGGGCGCTTTTTTGAACTGCAGGTCCTTGAAGGGTAATACAGTTTGAAGCTGGATGATCTCTGTATAAATATCCGATAGCAGCTAGGTCCCCTAACTTTCAGTAGCTGTTGAAAGGATAAAGTTGTGGTATATCAGTGGTTAGAAATACCATTATTACTTTAGGATTAGTTTAACACAAAGTCAGGGCTGACCCGCGACCATTGCTGTGAGTCACAGTGCGCAGCATAAAGGTACTTTCACATCGGACGCAGCATGTGCTGCTAATGCTAACTGCTAACTAAAAGCCAAGGATCCAGAATTTGTTGCGCTGGCTGCTGGGCTCTGTGGGTTTTTGCGGCAGCGCTACCTGTACTACATGCACCTGCTCCTTGTCGTTTCTATCTCTGACTTTATGTCCTCTACAAGAGTTTGTGGGAGGGTTTTTTTTTTTTTTTTTTTTTTTTTTTTTTAACCTTCAAATGTTCAATAAAAATAAAAACTCGGACCACCACAGACTGTTTTCCTTCGTGGTGATGAAGGAAAACGCTGGGCTGGGATGTAAAAGGGCATTTATTCCCTCAGGACCTGAAGCTCCATAAAGCACCCTTCCAATAGCCAAACCCATCTGTTCTCTGATTGGATTGTTAAATTTGTGATTGACATGACATTGGCCAATCAGAAGAAAGGAAGAAAAATAGTGTCAAAATTTGTACTTGAAACAACGTTTCACACGTATTTTTTGGCTAAGTCCACACACAAATCTTTTTTTTTTACGCACACACAAATTCTTTTTACACATACAAATCCTGATTCACAAGTACAAAATATTTATGACCACAATTTGAGCCCATATGTTAACAGGTGATTTATTATGAGAAGGACATTGTTACAGTGAAAGTGCATACATCCTCATCCAACCCACTCAAAAGCCTGTTTGCATCTGATCATTTATCATTCTGCAGTAGAGGGTTTCTTTGTTTTTTCTTAAAGTTTTGCTTCCTCATTCGACATTGTTCATTCATTTGAAAGGTTCAGAAACTCTCTCAAAGATTAATCACACTAAAATTTATGCATATGTGGTATTTTAAGTGTTATAGATGTTTCTGTTTTTGATGTAGTTTTGGTACTAAACTCTGTTTTGAAGTTTGCAACCCCCCTGGCTAAAAGATAACTCTGCTTCTCTGCAGATGTCAATAGCAGAGCGACTTGGTGAAATTGATCTGTCTACAGTCTCTGAGAAAGGAGCATCTAAAGGGACGGCTTCGTTAACGACAGACAATTTTGCAGTTCTGCTGGTGCAGGGCCTGGAGAGCAATGATGCTAGCATCCTGAACGTAAGTTCTCCTTACAGAGTCTGATGAAAGGCTTAAAACTTTGAGGTTGAAAACAATCTCAGTTGATTCCGGTGATAAAATTCAATATCAATCCCCAAAACATCTTTCAAAAAAATCTTTGAAACCATCTGTGAAAGTGTTGACTTTGATCAACTTCCCACAGTAATGCGAGGTGAAAATAAATGGAGCCAATTCTTCTGGCACGTCTTGGGTTTTACATTAACTTGTTCTGTGCAAACTTCTTTTCCCCCCTTTGCTCCTAAAGAAAGTTTTCCAGACTCGCAAAGAGATGGTAATAAAGAAGACGGTGGCTCGGTTACCCCTCTCTGCAGTTCTACCATTAGTGGAAGAAGTAAGTGTCCCCTTTATGGTCAAAAAGCAACATTTTGTGTTCCTGTGAAGGGATGGGATGGTCAGGATTTTTCAGCTTTCATCAACTTTTTAACATTTATATCAGCACCAACATATTAGGCTCCACAATCAAAATACAAAAACTAGACAAATGTTGCACAACCTGTGTGGCATATTAGAAGTTTTTGGCTCTCAGTTTTGTTTTGTTTTTAATCTTTGTGCCGTAGCATCTAAGAGCTAAGAGTCTTGAACTTCCCATTCCTACTACAAAGCTACATTAACCTGCATCTATGTTTTGTCCTGTTGTCAGGATTTGTAAGTAAACTCATGTTAACTGGAGTTTTTAATAAACCCCGTATCTCCTCTGCAGCTCACGAAGAGGCTCCAAGGGCACCCGTTTACGTAAGTGAAAGCTTGACGGATCAGCTCGGCATTTAATTAGCTTGAGTTCAGTGTTTGTCCACATCAGACATTAGTCACTGATGCAGTTATTTGTACCGCTGCTTTTTATTCTGCGTGCCTCTGGCATATGGCATCATAGTGAGTGCTGCAAGAATGAGGCCAAAACTAAGAAGTGAGCTAACATCTTGGAACTGTGTTGGTCTCATTAAACATTTCATTAGATGATCAACACAAGCTTAAGACATTTTTGCTTTTGTGCTACAATACACAGAATGCACAAGTAATTCCTCCCATGTGAATTTTAAAGTTAAGGTGTAATACATTAAAGGTGTTTGCTATCAAACATCTAAATGAAACTATGGAAAACTGTTGGGAGAGTTATATGGAGGTTGAAGTATTTTGATTATAGCATAACATTGGCATTTTACATTTATGCTTCAAAAATGTTTGTAGATTATCCTGCTGAACAAAATATTCAAGTGAAACCTTAGTATCCCACAGAGCTTGTGGAAGAATTGCTAACTAACTGAAAGGTGAACAAAAATCACTGTCCCTGCCTCACTCCGAGTATGAAGCTGGCCTGCTCCCTTTGCTTGACAGCATATACATTTGTTCTTTCTTACAGGGCAGCCTTAATGGTACGATGGCTCAAGGCTGTACTTATGCACCACACATCATACCTAGCATCGGTGAGTTCACTCTGCATGCACTCGCTTTAATTCCTGCACTGTCATTTGTGTAGTGACACACGCCAACAGTGCTTATTGATGCATAAGGCCAGAAAGCAGCCATTCATATTTAATGAAT